GCCTGAACTTAAGCCATGTGAATAAAGAGAACAGAACAAAGTCAAGATACATCTGGACATTAGAATAGAAAGACTTAGTACTGATTGCAAGAGAGCAATTTGGGAAAAGCAGAGGTTATGATACAGTCCAGATTTCTGGCTTGGGAAACTGGGTAAATAGTGATGAAGCCAGACCCTAGGAACAGGGAATAACTGAAAAAAAATCTTTAATTTCTCAAGAAATAATTTAGAAAGTAGATGAAAAGACGTCATTTCAATAGGAACAAAGGATACTTCTCTGTCCAAGAAATAAGAAAGATATAAATAGAATGTAGTTAAACCTACAACTAAAATGCAAAATTTGCTTTGCAAACCCTCAGAAGAAAGTGAATATAATCACAAAATGTATGCGTGAGGCTCAAGATGGAGTGAGGCCAGAGTCCTGAGGCTGGCATTGGGGTCAGGAACAGCTGCTGCATATATTGCTTGATGGTTTTTAAAATGCGTTTATGTCCTGGCTGAGTCATTTCACTTCCAGTGGATCCATCAGAATGTCCTGCTTCATTCCTCAGTTGTTGTCTCCCATTCTTTTCCTGAATGTTCCCTCAGTGTCAGTCTTCCAAACACACCTACTACTTTCCTAACACACTACACCCTTAGATGCCTCCATAACTTCTCATAGTTTCATGCCTCTATATTGAATGCCCTTCACTTCCTCTTGGACCTGGTAAATTTCAACTTATTCCTCAAGATTCACTTATTGTGAGTGTGTTAACCAACATCTTTTGACCTATGTTGGATACTGAGTAGGGAGAGAGAAGATGAGACACAGTCTTTGCCATTGAAGGATGCTGGTCAAGCAGACAAGGTAGACAGTAAACAGATAATTACAATAAACAGGGCACTGCTGTAGTTAGAAGCAGGTAACAAGTGCCACAGGAAAACAGCAGAGAGAGATATACTGCCTTGGGTTGTGGAGGTAGAGAGTCATGAAAAAGCCTTGACAGTTCAAATGGCATTTTCCCCATGAAGAATTTCCTAACTTCCCCAAGAAGTCAGCTACTCTTTCCTCTCTGATCTCATGGAACTTTGTTTTTCCAGGGCACAGTATTTAACACAGTGTACCATAATGTTAGATCAGTTCTGCTACTCAGCTCTGAGCTCCTCAAGATCATATGCCCTCATTGAATCCCTCACAGTTCAGTCCATAGTATGTGTTCAATAAATGTTCATTGGATGGATGGATGGATGGATGGGTTGAAAGTGATTATTAATCCACTAACACTTTCTACAGCAAGGAACTCATTGAACCTCTGCTACTAGTTTTCTGTGAAGTATAAAATAGACATGAATTAATAAGATTTTCTCACTACTGAACAACTATATGACAACAAATTGGACAACCTAGAAGAAACAACAGACAAGTTTCTAGAAACATACAGTCCACCAAAACTGAATCAAGAAGCAACAGATCATTTGAACAGACTGATCACTAGAAGTGAAATAGAATCAGCAATTTAAAAAACTCCCTGCAAACAAAAGTCCAGGACCAGACAGCTTCACTGGGGAATTCCGACAAACATACAAAGAAGAGCTCATACTTATCCTTCTCAAACTCTTCCAAAAGATTGAAGAGGAGGGAATACTCCCAAACTCATTCTATGAAGCCACCACCACCCTGATACCAAAACCAGACAAAGACACTACCAAAACAGAAAACTACAGGTCAATATCATTGATGAACATAGGTGCAAAAATCTTCAACAAAATATTAGCAAACAGAATCCAACAACACATAAAAACGATCATACACTATGACCAAGTTGGCTTCATCCCAGGGACACAAGGATAGTTCAACATATGCAAATCAATCAACATGATACACTACACCAACAAAAGAGAGGACAAAAATTACATGATCATCTTAATAGATACAGAAAAAGCATTTGATAAAATTCAACACCCAATTATGATTTAAAGAAACTCTTACCAAAGAGGGTAGAGAGGGAACATATCTCAACATAATAAAAAACTATTTATGACAAACACACAACCAGCATAATACTCAATTGTGAAAAGTTGAAAGTCTTCCTACTAAAATCCAGAACAAGACAAGGATGCCCACATTCACCACTTCTATAACATAGTCCTGGAAGTCCTAGCCATAGCAATCAGACAATAAAAGAACTAAAAGGGATCCAAATTGGAAGAAAAGAGGTAAAATTGTCACTATATGCAGATGACATGATACTATATATAGAAAACCCTAAAGACTCCACATAAAAACTACTAGAGCTGATAAAAGAATTCAGCAAGGTAGCAGGATACAAGATTGACATACAGATATCAGTTGCATTTCTTTACACTAACAATGAAATATCAGGGGGAAAAAAAGTAAAGAAACAATCCCTTTTAAAATCATATCCAAAACAATAAAATACTTAGGAATAAATCTGACCAAGGAAGTGAAAGACTTATATGTGAAAAACTACAAAACACTGATTAATATTCATTCAGATACTTTGTACTCTAATGTGTATTCTTCCTACTCCAATACCACAATATGTGACATTTTAGGTAGACTTTGTACACAAGCAGAATCAGCCATAGACAAAGGTATGATGCAAGTAAATTTTCTTTTCCTCATTTGGCAATTTTCTTCCACTCCAGACCTTTAGAATTTCAAGGATGAAACTGGTCCTCTCAATTTAGCCTCATTAACGTGTTAGGCTGGGTAAGAACTCCCCATTTCAGAAGTGTTTACATTTTGGATACGGATGGGTTGGAAGCAAAATTACTCAACCAGTAAGTATTTTCCTGAGTACCTGTTATACACAAAATCTTGTACCAAGTGCATCAGGGAATACAAAGAGGATAAAAACATGTTCCAGTCCTCAAGAGGTTTACAGTCTAATCTGGGAGGAAGCCACAGACCCGTGAAAAAAAAATCTTATAACACAATATAAGAAAGAATATTCATGATGGTGTATTGGTACATAGAGTGCTGTGGTCCTTAGGAAAAACACAGAGAAATAAAAAGAAATGAACGTTAGCGGCTTTATACTCTAACCTTCTGTCTAGTTCCCTCTACAGTATCCCCAGCAACTCTCCAAGTACTTCCAGCAATAAGGGATCCAATACTTCAGAAGAGAATCTGTCCTGCTGCAGAACAGAGAAATTCTACTCATAAAAATGTGTGTTCATGTGTATAATCTCACACTGACCTGAAACTGGGCTTCCTGTGATTTCTATCCATCCCAGAGAATGACAGGTAAAATTCATTTGCTGTCCCTTTTTGTGGTAGACCTTCCAGCATGTAGAGACACATCTACACTAGGACTTCTTTTCTTCATGCTAAACATCTCCATTTCCTTCAACTGCTGCTTACCTAACATGCTTCTCTGTGCTTGCCATCTTAGTTGTCCTCTTTAAAATATGTTTAACAGGTTAGCGTCTCTCTTAAATGTAATATCACAAATATATTAAAATTTAATACTATTAATAATATATTACTTATATATAATATATGTGTATATTAAATCTCTATTAAGTGTAACATTAAGTTTTAGTTAATGTTTATATTATTAAACTACCTACTGGACATTACCACTTGGACATCTCAACCTTAATTCTGGCAACTCCAGCCTTTACATTTCTTAAAGCACTAACTCAGACCAAAAATGTATCTCTTCCATATCTCCTACTCTAACAGTCAGCAATCCTAGTGGCTCTACCTTCAAAGTACAATCAGAATCTGACCATTTCTCCCCACTTTCGCCTCTACAACCTGAGTCCAGATGACCATCATTTCCCAGCTAGGTTTCCTACTTCACTTTTCCACATCTCCGCACTGAGATCTATTCTCCACAATACAACCAGATGATGCTTTTAAATCATGCCAGATCATGTTATTCCTCTGCTCAAAACCCTCCAGTTGTTCCCCGTCTTATTTTTTAAAAGCCTTTAAAATGGCCTATGGGATCTGGCTCCCTCGACCCTCCACAGCCTTCCACCACTTTCTTCCCATCCTCCATTCCTGCCACATCTGTCTCCTTGCTTGCCTCAAACACACCAAGCACACACCTGCTTTGGGGTTTTTGTACAAACTGTTCCCTCTGCATGGAAACTCTTCCCGGAGAGACTCACATAGCTCTCTTCTTCCGATCTATGCTCAGATGCCACCTGGCCACACTATTTAAAATAGCAAATTCCACCCCCACACCCAGTGCACCCTAGCTCTCTCTTATCCTCTTGACTTTTCTCCATAGCACTTAATACCAACCGTTACACCATATATTTTTATATGTTTATTATTGACTCTTTCCCCCACCTCCATTAGAATGCAAATTCTGTAAAGGCAGGGAGTTCTGTCTGTTCTGTTTACTGATGTATCCCTGTCACCTAAAATGGCCCCTGGAACATATTGGACTCACATGTTGAATGACTGAAAGATGGAATGAGCGAACGAGTATGTTCCCAGCTAGATACACTGGGGTAAGATCTACAAAAACAGTTCTACTCAACTGCCTACACTTTTCCTAATAAGACACCATAGTTTTACCCATCATCTTTTATTAATTTCATCTTAGAATTTGGGCAAAGGTATTGGCTTAATTCAATTATGAACCTTATGTCATGATTTCCTTAAATAGCAAAGCTGTAGATGCTATAATAAAATGGATCTCTTCAAGGCTAAAAAAAAAATCTATGAAGAACATTCTCATCTAATTTTGAATTTTAATGAATAATTGTAATGATGAGTAATTAATTTCAATATTTATAGAAAATGAAGTGCATTTCTTCCTTTATGAAATTCTAGCACTTCAGGAACAACAAATTCTTGGAGGAAAAAATATCTAATGAGATCATTAAAGTTGGAAGGGTTGTACCTACCTAAGCCGTAACACACACAGCAACTGAATGGGCACCAAATAGTATCCTCCCTCTTGGGCCGACTCTGCTGTCTGAGCTCATCACTTCCTCCGATCTGTAGGAAACTGCCAGCGGAGGAGGGCTGAGGATAAAGCTTGAGTTTCCCGGTACCTAAGGCACAGAAGAGAAACACTTGGTTTCCAACTTGTGTCACCAGCAAAGAAAAGCTGATGTCCTAAGTCCGGAAGGAATTTATTGTGTAATTTTTTTAAACAATGGATTTTAGGTAACATAAGGCACAACATCCTCAGCAATGATATTTGAAAAAAAAATACAGAAGCATTGTTCCAATGGACAATTCTTAAATTGAATCTCATAAAGGTTCAGAGCATAACACTAAATTTTTAACTCGGTGGGAGCATTTCTATCTGGAACAGAGGTAGGTATTCCAGCCCAGATATGTTGCTTCCTGATACCACAACAAATCACAAGAACAGAGATTAGAATTCCTAGAAGAGGAATGGAGAGCTCGCCAGTTCATTAAATCATCTCTCTCCAATATTATGTGTCTTAGGTGAGCCTTTGGCAAGTGCACAGTTACAAGGCACTTCAGGACTGGATTCGCTGACGAGTGCCCGAAGTGCCAATGTCTTTTATGTTGATTATCCATGTGCTTTCAACACCAGATGTGCCAGAAGTGAGGCTGACGTTCTGTTGTCAATTTTTTAAGGATCTGACTTGTATTCTTGCCATTCCATTTCTGCTCAAAGATAAGCTGCAGGGGTTCCTGCAGGTGACACCAGCATTTCCCTCAAAATGGAGTTTGAATCCACTCACACACTTAGACAAACACTCTTTTAAGGACCCTGAGTTTTTCACTATATTGCAGATGATCTGGTCCAAGACCTTTCTTAGGACAGGTATAACCAGTCAACCATTTTGACTATTTTAAAAAATAAAATAAAACAACAAAATGAAACATCCTCCTTATGGCCCCCTTGAACCAATACCTGGTATGCCTGTCAGAATGAGTTAGCTGCAAAAAAATGAAATAAGTAAAAAAATTTTTAAATACTCCTTTGGACCAGAAGGAGTTGACTTTTTGGTGAAGGTTATCTGATATTATCAACTTAAATGTTGGAGAGCATCTGCCAAAAGCAGCAATTTTAGCTCTGACAGAGTTGATGCTAAGCTGCTCTTTCTAACAATAATTAGTCAGCAGGTTCAGCTGCTTCTTTTATAGTATTGTTTACTGCAAAACATTACAAAAACATTGACAAAACTCAAAATAAAAGAAAGAAAAATCCACCCAAAATTCTGCCATCCTACAAACCAAACTGTTTACATTTTTTTTTCATGCTCCCTTTCAGTCCCTGTCCATATGCAGACAGAATTTTTACAGTTGTAATCATAGCACAGATATAATTTTGTAGTCAGGTTTGTCTCAATTAGAGTTTTTAAAGCGTTTTTCCAGTTCACTCTCTCATCTTCATTTCTACTACGAGGAACACCTCACCCCCACCATGCTGAGTGACCTCCCTTGGGATCCGAAGTGTTGACGAAGGCTTACAGAGAATAATAATCAACGGAATTAGGGGAAAGGGTTATTTTAAGTTTCCTGTTTAAAGGATGGGGTCTCTAGAATTAAACTGGTATGGAAAGGATTTCTTTCACCCTTTGTTCCCGTAGCTGGAAACCTTTATGAAAACAGCTACATTTCCCCACCATCAGGCATGTTTTTGTTATCTTAAGAGACTTTGCAGGTATTTCCTCTTTACCTAGTTTGTTTTTAAGCCCTGCTTAGTATTTAGGACAGAAGCATTTAGAGACATCTTTTCTTCCATCTGCTATAAGGATTTACGTAACTTAGGATTTTTTAAGTGTGGATAGTACTCCATGCTGAATCTGTATGAGCGTGAAGTGGCATACTCAGCTGTCAAAATGTTGGGTACCTGGATGTATCTTTTCCCATTTTAATTTGTAGTTCGCCAGTCACTGGCTTCCATACCAGGCTGCACATCAGACTCGTCTGGGGGTGGGGAGCTGGTTTAAAAAAAAACAAACAAAAACAGATCCCAGGGGTCACCCCTGATCAGGTGAAGCAGAATATCTGGGGCTGTCTATGGACTGATGTTTGTAACATTGTGCAATCAAAATGTCAACAGTCTCTCTTGATAATGGCTCTGACTGTTACGATTTGTGGATTTTTACGGGGATGGAAGAGATTTGGAAAAGGGATAGAAGAAGCATGCGGCCCATAGAAACTTTGCTGAAATGTCTTTCTTTGAGCTAGGCAGACCCGAAATGTGAATCACCTGCTCCAATAACCCTAGCCAGCATCATGAAGTGAACAGTTTTCTGTGTTTTGGTGAGCCAACCTAGCCTCAGTCTTCTATACACAGTCCTAGAACCCTGAGGGGGCCACAGACACAAATGGTGGGATCTGCTGGTGGTAGTTGTGGAGCAGTAAGTATCAAATTTTTTTTAAATTAGATTGCTTTGACCCTGGAAAGCTTTCACTTTTAATTCTATGTTCTATATTGTTTGAATTTTTATAAGCATGCATTTGTGCATTAATTGGTTAAATTTTTTTTTAAAAAAAACTGAAGAGTGTGTTAGACCCATATGTGGTCTTTTCAAAGAAATGCTCTCATCTGTGTGTGTCCTGTGTGTCCTGGAATCTGACTAATCAGATCTCTAGTCCTTCCTCTTCAGAGGAAACACAGAAGGGAGAGGGCAGAAGGACAGAATCGTTTCCTCTCTCCCTACGTTAGGCAAAGAAGGAGAAAGGCTTTCCAGGAACAAATAACAAGAAAAGCAAAGGAGTAGAGGTACTACATGGCTCAGTGTGTGCGAAGAGTTTGTGATTCATTATCCAACTCCTATTTATCAACCAGGGGGCACTTTTGTCCCCCAGGGGACATTTAGCAATGTCTGGAGTTGTTTTTGGCTGTCATAACTGGGAGAAGAGAGTACCACTGGCATCTAGTGGGTAGAAACCAGGGATGCTGCTAAACATCTTACAATGGCACAGGACCGTCCCTGCCCCCCAAGAAAGAATAATCGGGCCCCAAATGTCCACAGTGCTGAGGCCGAGACTCCTGCTGCAGTGTGCAGTGCTAGGCAGGGAGCAGGGTGTAGGAAATAAACCTGAGAAGCTCATAAAAAGAAAAAAGCCAGATCAGGGGAGGCCTTAGATTTTATACCAAGGAGCTTGGCTCTTTTTTTTTTTTTTTTTTTTGATGAATGATGGAGAGCCAATGAAAGGAAATTACCTGATCAAATTTGGATTTTATATATATCACTCTGAAAGTAAATCAGAGGAGGACATTAACTGAGGCAGAGAAAACCCCTAGGATACTGTTGTAAAAGCCCAGAGAGGAATGTGAGGACCTCAGTGAGATAGTGCCAGAGGGATGGAGAGAGAGAAGAGTCAACCAACACACATTTAGGATGTTTAAGTCAGCAAGTGTCGAGAATTGAAAGGATATGGGAAGGGCAGGGAGGACTCCAGGATAACGCCCAGGTTTCTCTTTCGCATTATTAGATGGATGATGGTTAGATACAGAAAAGAGATTTATGGAGGAAAAAATAACGTATCTAGATAAAAGTTTCACAAAGGTCTCAGTTATTCTCTGGAGAAATAAAGTAAATAACAGAGTCCACTCATTCAACAAATATTTTAATAGCCATTTTCTGCAGAAAATAGTTTATACCTAGAACTGGTTATGCAAGCAAGCTATTAGATTGAGACTTAGTCCTTCAATTTAAGAAAAAAAATGTGATGTTATTTTGAGGAAGTCTCTAAGAGCCTTAACGTTTCTGTAATTTCAGGAGATGGAGGGTTTCCCTTTTTGAATCTAGAGTCAACTACGCTTAGAAATCATCTTGAGGAAACCATACCTGTGGAGTTAATTAAGGTAAATAGGTTGGCAAGGACTTCAGCCAACTACTCCAGTAAAACCAAAATAATTCTGGCAGCAGAGATTTTCTTCTGGAGCTCTTTTCAGCCTTGAAAGCCTGGATTTTTTAAGAGTTGATGAAAACAATGGATTCTGCATCCTGACTATGGAGAATACTGGGAACAATAAAATGCAGAGAGACAAAGTAGAAATTGAGATGATTTGCTTAGTAATCAACCCATGCCCATGATTCTGAACTTCTCCATCCGGTAGTGATACCAAAGAAGATAAAGTCCCCAAATGTGCAATGTTGGTGTCCCTGTAGTCGAGCCCAAAATATTCCAGAATTTTTTATGTAATTCAATTTTTGGAAGGGACAAGTTGTTTTTAAAAGAACTGTAACTTAATGAGTCACTGGATGACTTGATCTCAGTTATATTTGAGATGCTATCTTGATAATATGGCCTGGAACCTTTTTCCCTTTCTGATCTCTTTTATGAAGCAAGAAATAAAAGCACTTGTCCTTGATCAGTCCAGTGACATAGCAGTATAACCACAATTTGTTAATATTATGAAGTTATCCATGAAGATTCCCAGAATAAATTACATGCCATAAATTCTCTGTTAACATATATATTTATTTGTTCACTTCAGTTTAACCTTATCCTTAAAATCTCACTGATTGGGTTATGTGTAGGAACAGATGCAAGGACAATTTTGAAAGTTCAGATTAAGTTTAAGGGAAAAATACTTACTTCCAACCAGTCTAAAATACCCAATTCAAGGTTGTAGATAAACTCGGCAGAGCTAATTCTTCAAACATCAGTAGTGCTACCTCTGGTTGGAAAAGTGAGGGAAAGTCCACAGAATTACCCCACAACCTGCCATCTGCCTTTATTGGACTATGATTATAAATGAGTTTGACCAGATATTTTCCTCTTTGATTCAGACAGTTTACTCCTGGAGAAGTGCCTTAAAAGGAAGAATCTGACAATTGCAGATTCTGATGGATGTAGCTCCGGTGGACCCGCTGCCAATCCTGGCATTCACGTCCCCTGAAATTATGTCAGCTAATGAATACTTAGAAAACATAAAGTTCAGAGGACTGTCAAATTACTGTACAATCGGAAGTATCAGTCTGCACACTGGAGGGAAAGTGTGTATGTTAAAACCCTACATCAGCTTTGTGAGGAGCTGGATTAGTCCATAAATTCCATAAGGTCTGTACCTTTCACTTTTACTCAGTAGCTGCCACTTAGGTGCTGACCA